CTTTTGTTTTATAGAGTTTGATTTGTCCTATATTGTCTCCGTGAGCTCAGGTCCTATGCCACAGTGATCAGAATCAGAGCATTCAGAAGTCATGGAGGTAGACGAGAAGATCCTTGTAAAAAAGATGCTGAGGGTTGCTAAAATTCCAAGCATCCACGATACAAGGGGGATGATATTGTTAACTTACTTTTTTTTCTCCTCTGCAGGTTGCAGTCTGGGAAAGCTAAGTAGCAAAACCCAACATCACAGCAATCCTTGTGTTTTATTCCCTTTTCTCCATCTGGTGCCTTTTAAACAACTTGCTATGCTTCTGAAACTGGCTCTTCATTGTCTTACGAGTCATTAGCATTTAAAACCCCCGGTTGGAATCCCAAGCACAATTTTCTCTGCATTCCAGATTCAGCACCATCTTCCCAAGTATTAAAACGGAGCCATCTCTGATAGGAGTTTGTTCAGTGGCTTTGGAGGGAAGGATTCATGAGGGAGGGTTTGTGTTCCTGGAGGATTTTTATCACTTCTTTCAGCTTCCTTTTGATTTCTCTTCTTTGAAACAGTCTTTGCAGTACCAAAATATACACAGTTTCTCCCTCACCATGGATTCTGAAAAATAAAGATCTACCCTTCCATGGTGGCTTCCTAGCAGCCCAGACTCCACAATGAGCAAGCATGTGATAGAAACGCACCTCTCTATTAGGCCTGTTCCCTCTGGCAGTCAGGAAAGTATTCAATTGTAATCTTACTAATGCTGTTTTCCCATAAACATTGTAATTTTCTGAGAGCCCACCAAGTTATTGATAATTCTGTTCATTTTCCCAGTTTGTGTTTATATATTTAGCTGATCATAATTGTTGGCTATTATGACAACAGGATTTTTGAACAATTGTGGCACATGAAGCCTTAGCTTTCTACCCAAACCAGCTGCCTACATAATGCAAAAGCATCATGTGGGATTTTTTCCTAACATGCATGTTTGTCTGAAACTCTGAGGCTTAATAATCAGCTTCTAACCTGCTCCAGGAATGCTTCTTTAAAAATACAGGGCAGTAGGTAAGTTGACCAATTTGACTATTAAATGAGAGTAAAGTACAATTAATTTATGTTTGAAACAGCTATTACAGTATCTTGGCACAATGAGTCAGCATAAAGGGACGAACAGGCGGCAATGCCCTAGAATAGCACTTGGGATATTTCCACGGCATTTTTTGGATGCCCCAAAGTGCCTGTGAAGTAGGCATGTTTGCCTCACTGGCAACTTTTGCAAACTGTCATGGACAGGCTGCCACAGTGCAGCAGAGTAGTGCTGGACCATTGGGTGCCATGCGTCCCTTTTAGAAGCAATGTCTGATTTCCTTCACTAGAAACCGAAGGGATGGGCCTGGCCTCAACACCAGTTGTAATCCAAACCTTCTAGCGCAGTATGCAGTTTCCCTGTTTTTATTACACAAGATCATCTTTATGCAGACAGAATCAGCTAGACTTGATCTATGTTAAGTCAATAAAGAAACATTAGTCTTGGGGACAAACCATCTTAGGGTGACCCAAATAGCTCTCAATTACCTTGTTTCAGTAACTCTCAAACAAGTGCTCAAGTTTTTAAGTGTTTACTTCTTATAAGAAATAAAAGAATTATTTCTCTAAAAGTAGTTTCCTAAACGATCTTGAAATAGCTTATGTAGTCAGTAGATTTTGATTATGGTGTATGAGTTATGTAGTTCAACTATTATATAATGTCATCTTTTATTTATCAAATGAATTTTCCTTCAAATACCTCAACTATTTCCATTAAGAGAGAACCCAGTGGCAGACTCATTTTGAGTTACTTATTAAAGGAGAAATAAAATGAGAATGAGAAAAGGAAAATCTCTTGTCATTATAGGTCTGTAACTAAAAAGCCTTAACTATTACATCATAGCTCCAGTCATATCTATTTTGACATCCAGAATGGAGGAATGGGAATAATTTCCCCTTTTAACATCAATGTTGAGAATAGCAAATCTCATATACACACATATGTACATATATATGTGTCTCTCTATAGATACAGTGTCTGTAATTATACAGTCAGACAAAAAGAATATCAAGAGCTATTTTAATATTCACCTTTGTTATATTAAAAATGAAATCATCATTATAATAGAATTAGCAGGACAAAACTTGACTCTTTGTACTTGCTGTTTTTAGGAATTACCTGATTGTTATAATATGAACATTATTTTTTTTCCAGCAGTAAAAGAATAGAGGCAATTATTTTTATATTCGTAATGTAAAGGGCAGATCATGGGTTGAAAAAAGCCTTTGAAGACCTCTGTCTTAAAACGACTGGTCTGAAATGTGAGAAACTATTAAGACAGCTGGGACCATAGACAGGCAAGAAAGGGAAAGGAAGAATTAGCCCTAGTAGGATGCTTTTGAGAAAGCAGAGACCAGACAGAACACAGGCCCCTTTGGAGTCTTCAGAGGGGAGCCACGTATATCTTCTAAGGAACAAGATTTGCCCCACATAGTCGCTAGGGAGAAGAGTCACTTTCTAGAACTTTTTCCAGGAAATTTCATCACAGGATGGAAGTGGCTAGGGGTCAGTTCATACCCCAGAATGCATGGAGGGTTAGTGGAGCAGAGAGAGGTATGTTCTCTGATCTGGAATCATGGATAGAGTAGGTGTGCATTAAGGTGATCCCACTCAGAGAACAGGCACGAAGGCTGAGTGCCCTCATCCAAGTACACTTCGCCCATCTTTCAGCAGTACTCGACTAAGTGGAGGGAAGTGTACAAGTCCACACTTAACTGGGAACCTCATCTAAGATCTGGGGCTATGGAAGATAACTGACCGCACAGCAATAAATCAGCTCCGAAATCCTGAAATAATGACATTAGGCTTCAAGTAGAATTACACAGCACAACACAACATCACCTGCAGTATCACCAGTAAGATGGATATTTAAACTGAGTGCATAAAGTTTCCATGTTGTGTTCACCACCCTTAAAGGTGACTCTTTGCACTCAATACTCCATAGGCGGGCCTGGCTTGCTTATGCTGGCATTCCTTCAGCCTGGCAATCTTGAGGCTATAAGAAAATGTATAGCAATTTGAGTTTATAGAGGATGACTGACTTCCAGGAAGTTGGAAGTAACTGGAGGGTAAGATCTGTGTTTTCTTAGCAACTGGCTGCATCATTCCAACTGTCATTGAGTTCAAAAGTTTGTCAGGAAGGGAATTCTAAGCTAAATGATGAGTTCTACTCGTAGTAATTTTATGTTGCAGCACTGAGTGTAGACACAGCATTAGACATCATGGAGACCTGTTTGTCTTATTTAACTCTGCCGTATCTGTAGTGTCTGGACAGCATTGGACAAATATGTACTCAAAATATTTGTCAAATAAATGAGTGAACTTCATCTACCTGACTAGATTTCATAATCTGCAGATTTGGGATAATTTCCTATAGGCCCATGAATACTGGATAGAACATAGGAGACAAATAACACAAGAGTGCTTTAACAGTAAAACATCCTACATATGTAACAGATACTGATGTACAGTCACAGTGGATAGATTCTTAAACATTTGCCTGTTGTTTTAACTCTCTGTGTGTATCGGTATGATCTTATGCATACCAAAGTGCATGTGTGGTAATTAGAAGACAACTTCGGTGCTGGTCCTTGCCCTCCACCTTGAGGCATGGTCTTTTTGTTATTCTAGCTGTTGTTCCACAAGCTTCCAGGGATTCTGTCTCTGCGTCCCCTCTTACCATAGAAGTGCTGGGATTACAGACAGGTGCTACCATATCTGAGTTTACCTGAGTTTTAGGGATTTGAACTCAGGTCCTCACGCTTCCTCAGAAAGCACTTTACCTCTTTTTCACAAAAAATATTTTCTAAAAACAATTTTATTTATTTTTATTTTATGTGTATGAGTGTATTGCCTGCATGGATATAAGTACACCCATGGTGTGCAATGCCCATGGAGGTCAGAAGATGGCTGTTAGCCATCATGTGGGTGCTAGGAATTGAACCCAGGTCCTCTGTAACAGCAGTCAGTGCTCTTAACTGCTGAGCCATCTCTCCAGCCCCTTACCTCTGTTTATAAAATATATACTCCCTGGACATAGTGAAGAGTGGCAAATATCTCTATCAAGGGTCAAATATGAAATTAATACATCATTAATATAGTAATTTTTATAATATTTACGTAGTCATATTGATAACTTAATGATCATGCTTATTTTGTGTTTTCTTTGTGGCAATAATTATACATGGTGACAAGGGTCAACTAGCCTCTAGTTTAGACAAAGGAGTGATATGGCTTCTTCATGTGGGTGGGCTCCATACATTGCCTGAAACTTCACTTTCCCAAAGTGATACCCTATCCTCCTCAAGATCTCCCAGACTGCTTATGCCACTGTTGGCATGTCTCCCTTGGCTGTCTAAGCATAGCCCTCTGCCACACCATGGCCATCCATAAGAAAAGAAAGGAAAATCAGCCATCTGGTCCCATTTAACACAGCCTGGAAATATGGACTAAATATATAGAGAGGATTAAATAACATACCCTGGTGGTCTTTAGGGAATGGCCAAGGGTAGAAATCCTTAAATTTGAGGCTCATTTTGCAAAGTGCAAAAAGAGTTTGATGACCAAAGGGTAAATAGTAAGTGCTGAAGAGAGGTGTGGACAGTTTTCAAAATACTTTTAAGACTTTAAGTCTTTATGATCACATTGGCAACATTGGGGACTGATGTAATCCTGGCTGGGATACGTAGAAGTCCTTCCAAAAGTAACTACACTGTAGAAACTTTGAAACAAGGGAACTAATGTGCTATTTATGGAAGAGTAATAAAGGAGTGTAAAACTAGGTGGGCGTTTCCTAAAATCTGGTTCAGATGGGGCACATTCTCAGCCATAGTTCGGGTATCTGACAAACTTCTTTGAGGCCCACAGAAGCCATCTTTCAATCCACTGTCTGTAATCTAGCTGATTCCCACTCAAGTTGAATCCTTCATACCTGTTTCTGCTCTTCTCCTAAACCATCCCACATTGAAGCCACAATCTTAGAGACTTCACCAAAGGTAGCGTTGGGATTTTGGCCCTTGATAGCAGCCTGAGTATCTCGAAAGAACAGCGCATAGGCAGACACGGGCTTCTGGGGCTCGTTAGGGTCCTTCTTCTTCTTCTTTTTGGGAGTTTTTGGTTTTTTCCCCATGTCAGAGGCAGGCCGTTTCTCTCCACCATTGATCTGAAATAAAAATAAAGACAGAGTTAGAGAGGAACTGAAAATAGTCTGTGTCTCAGTCATATTGCTGTTCTCCCTTAACAGGCACAAAGTTGACCCAGGCACGTCCCACAGAACTGTGTCTAAGGAGCAGAGCTATTCGCTGCTGTTGCTTTGCACATAAAACTTCAGACTCTGTGCTGGGGTGTAGCAAGTGGTTCAGCACTTGCCTAGCAGGCTTGAGGTCTTGGATTTGATTCCTAGCACCACAAGAGAAGAAAAACAGTACAAACAAAAAAACCAATGTGGTCTTCATATTAACCCTTCCCCCAGCTCAATTTACATAGCTTTAATCTTGCCTCTTTCTTATTTATATTATTTCTTATAATATTAATTAATTAACACAATGAAATACTACTTAACTCTCTTCATCTTTTCTCTTTCACTGTGGGACAACAGCAAATTTCTCTTATTGGGCTTTCTTTCTTCTGGGGAGTTCAGACTCATCTTCCTAATTAGGACTTTAAACATGGGGTTAGCATTTCCCATAAATAAAGTCAAATGGCTCTTGGTTTTGTACTTAGATCTATGGATGTGGTTGAGGAAATACAGATATCCTTATGGCTTAGAGAACACCATGAGCTAGACTCTAGTAACAGCTGTCCAATGGAACTTTCTGCAGTGAGGGAAAAGTTCCATAGTCTGCAATGTCCTACTTGGCAGAAGCTATATGATGGTATAATAACACTTGAAATGTGGCTTGAATGAATGAGATAAATTGTAGCCTTGTTCAAATTCAACCAGCTACATATATGCCTAATGGCTACCATATTGGAGATTGTACCTCTAAAAATTAGATGCTAGAGATTTATAGAACAAAATTTTACTCAGTCTAAAAATAGAGTTCATCTTTTCCCACGGTCCTCAGATATGAATATTTGGATAATTTAAATTTTTATTCTGACACAATTGGGAAAATCCTCAGTGTGTATGTGTGCTTAAGAAACCTGCATGTGAATATTATATTTATTTACTAAATAAAGGTGATGTCATTTCCTTCATCCCTCATCCCTATAAAATAAGGATTCTGGCTAGGATTTCTTTCCAGCTCTAAAACCCTATGACTTGATGGGAATACACAGCAGTGCTGTGTGAAGACCTGTTTTACACGTGTCCGTCTCTCATCAACTAAGTCCTGCGTATCCTGACAGTGGCTGCTCTAATGGTTGTTGTTCTGATCCTCATCTTTGATGGCTGTGGGGCCACTTTTGTTCTCTCTAGATAGAGAATGATATAGGCCTTATTCACGTAACATGCTGGGTGAGGCACTTGTGTAGAATAGCTGCCACCATAGCAGAGGCAGCACGGTCTCTCCAGAGTCCCAGGGGTACGTCAGAGAATCTAAATTCATGCCCTTCTTTAATTAGCTTTAGCTTCATTATCTTACTTAAAGCAATTTTTTTGAGCTCCTGTTTTTTTCTACCACAAGCTAGTTTTAGTGCATCTTTCAATTACGGAAACGAATATATTTATCTATACTAAAGCATTAAGAGGATATTCAAATAATAATGATGACACATTAGAAACATTAAGAATATTTCAATGAATGGAAAAACATTATCTTCATTTTTGATACCTTATAATTAGTTTGAAAGATCTGCCCAAGAAACAGGATAAAATCCTTGTGAAGTCTTTGGCTTTGCTCTTTTTTAGAGAGATGGAGAACTGAAGATGATCATAATGAACATGGCTATAAACTGTCTACTCGATGGAACACGATGTTCCTAATCGAGTAGACAAGCTAATGTAATGACAAACTAACACTGGTTGATAACTTCTCCAGGATGAATCTGAGAGGTGATTCTGTGAAAATGCTGGGTTCCTTCTAATTCTGTCAGAAGAGCAGCATTGTGGGACAGTATCGATACTGGGCAAACTCATGGGCTAGTTCTAAATCCAACACATAGGCATGAATGTCCTAGAATGGTGGTCATCAAAAATGGCCACACATTGGAATTGCCTGGAAAAGCTTTTAACAAGTGCCCTGATGGCCTAGGCATGGGAAACTGACCTCAGTCAAATCATCTCGGGTCTGTTCTTCCAAGAGTCATATATAAAATCCTCGAGATACAAACCAGCAACTCTTTGTCTTTCAAGACTACACATGCCCATATTTTTCTCCTCTTTATAGCCAGCTCCTTTTCTGTGCCCCTGCCCTCACTTCTTGGTACTGTCTACTCTCCATAGAGCTACCAATGCCTTCATTGCTGAATCCAAGGGACATTTTTCTGTTGCCTTTGCTTGATTTTCCCTGGGAAGGCTCTCTTCCTGTCTTAGAACAGCCCCTTGGATTTTACTCCTATCCTGTAGGCCTCGCTGGTTTTAGAATCATTTTCTTTGGCTCATCTTCCTCCAAATGGCCATTACATGATGATCTACCTTACAGGGTTCTATGCTGTAAATCTTCATTTCTTGTCACTCTTATATGCACATACGGTTTCTGCAACCATTTGTGACTGGATGATTGTGAGGTTTGTGTTTACCCCGATTTGGCATGCACATGAGCAACTATTATTTGACATCTCTGTTTTTAAATTTTAAAGATATCTCAAATTCCAGTCAGGCCCCTGTTGGGCACTTGAGTTATACAGGTTTTCATTCATAGCACATCTCAAACTTGTTACTATATAACAGTATGCACATGGTCCTTAGACTGTTTTCCATCCCCAAGTGTAAGTGCTATTGAGTTGGGGTCAGGTCTAGCTTGCTCACTAGCACTTACCATGTGATTCCTGAAACACAGTAAGTTACTCAACATTTGCTGTAATACTAGTAAATATAGTAACATAAAATAGTAGTTTGACTGGGAGAATGAATGGATGTAGCTTCAAGAAAACAAGAGAATGGTCACCAGATAAGATGGTGAATGTGTTATTTATCCAGGTTATAGTAATCATTTCATAATGTACATGTACTTTAATTGATTGTGTAACATACTTCATATATAATTTTTCTGCCACACCTTAATAAATCCAGAGAAATGGGTGATTATGCCACGGGAAGGCACATTACTTCACAGATTGGAATACTTAGAAATGGAACAAAGTGCCCAGATAAGTGTATATTTATATGGAGTATTACCTACATTTATTTTAAATTTTAATTAAAATAGTAGTGATTGGAAAAACTAAAATCTCTATGACTGCATATTATGTCAATCTTTTTGGAAAGTAATCAAATAGTCACAGAGATAAATCTCCTACCATGTAGTCTAAATTCTCTATTCAAGTTATTTCTCTAAATGATTTAAATAATTTCCCTCTTCTATAGTTCAGAACTGTGCCTGGACCACAGAAGAAGCTGAGGCTCAGTTTCGCATTAAACTGGTTTTATGACAGTTATCCTCTTTGCTTCACAAAAGACTCAACTTTCTAGGATGACCCAAAGAAGCCTGAGAACCTGTAGCAAACAGAGGGTCAAGTATCAGTGTATCAAGACATCAAATGATCATTTTGAAATGATGCATAGCACTGCTCTAAGAAACCCTAAACAACCCAGACAACCAGTCTGGCTGTATAGAGGCTTTGTTGACTTTTGTGGCATGGCTTGTAGGATTGGGTATGGTAAATTGTGTCACAGTCTCAGAACTTAGTTTATTTATTTATTTTCGCATGTGTATGAGTATTTTGTTTTCATGTGTGTAAGTGTACCACATGCATGCAATGCCCCTGGAGGTTAGAAGAGGGTGTTGGATCCCCCGGGACTGCAGTTATGGGTGGTTATTACCCACCATGTGGATGCTGGGAACTGAATCTGGATCCTCTGAAAGAGCAGCCATTTCTCTTAACTGCTGAGCCATCTCTCTGGCCTGTTGGAGTTTTGTTTTATAGATGGAAGCATTTCATGACCTTTATATCCAAATTCTGAAGGCTTAGGTGACATTGCTTAAATGCCATGAGGTATAACTCTGCATCATCAGTAATTAATCTGATGGTATTCCTGAGATGCAGTACACTGTGAAGCTGGGGTATCTTCCTCCTTAAGATCAGACCACACAGATTACTATATTATATTTGCTTTTGCTATGGCTGAACCAAGAGAGACTGATTGACTTTCAGCCAACCAGGCCTCCATTTAGAGACATACTGGTGTTACCATTGGTCTGAACTGTCTGCAATGCAAGAGGATGGCTGTCATCTAAGAAGGGAAATCTAAAAGGCAGACATGACATATTTATTACTCAAGATTCACTACCTTTCCTTCAATAATTAACCTAGATCATCAAAGCTATATTCTTGGGTCATGATCTTCTGACCACCTGTAAAACTGCTTGCAGAGAACTCAACTATGATTTGAAATAATGCTCTATTTATCACCAGACTTACATAAAGGGGAAAAGAGGTATGTATGAAAGATTCTCATTTTTTTACAAAAATAAAATGTGCTTTAGAGAGAATTGTTTGTTATACTGCTCAATGTTCCTGGATAAAGGCTTTTTTGGATAGGCACAATGGCTCTTTCTTTTTAGAGGCAGTATAATGGAATGAAAATTCACTGTTGTGGCTTGATGTCTTCAGGATTCAAGTACTTGGGTGAGGACTGGTAAAACTACTTGCCTCATGAACACTGGACATTGCTCTCTGACCTGTGGTTTGTATTTTTCACCACTTTTCATACATGGAAAAGATGTAGTAATGAGCTACCCTTTTGGATTCTGGGTAATGAGGTGGGAATTTGTAAGGCCCATTTTCAGAGGTAATTTGCTACTTAGGTAAAAGTGCAGTCATTGCTCATATGCCAAGCTTTCTTGTAAAGAACGCTGCTCCAGCCTGGAACCACTTACATGCTGGTAACGGATTACGTTTTGAAAAGTACCTGACTCTTGACCACAACCTATTTAGAATGAACACAAGGATGATAAATACGGTTGTGGTGGAAAAATTAGCTAAATGGACTTACAATATGTTCCTGGACTTTAATTTTAGACATTGTCTGGATCTTGGTTTACTGTACTTATAGATGAA